ATTTTATCAATAGTTTTATGTATATCAAAATTTCAAGATGATTTATATAACAAGAAATTTTTAATAAGAATAGAAATTTTTGATTTTGATATAGAATTCATTAAAGGAGAAAATAATTCATTACCAGATTTTCTTACTAGAGAATTCTTACAAGGACATGGATCGTGAATTGATGGCTCAAAGAACAGATCGAGAATATACCAATTATTTGAGAGCTCAAAGAGATTCTCCCAAACTCCAAAACAAAGAAAAAGTTATCCGATCCAGAGGTTATCAATACTTTGTTCAAACTAGCCATGGTAGGCAAAGTATTCCAGCCTATCAAATTCCTAAACATGATACCATATACATTCAAAAAAGCCCTTATGCTACCATTACTCCACAAGAAAGAGCTTTTATTATTGAAAGAGAGATTCAGCGAAATACTATCCGAATTCAAGTCCTGAGAAGAGTTGAAAGAAATGAAGAATTTATTCAGTACTACAAAGAACAAAATAAGCAATTATCTGACCAGCTTAAAGATATTGTTTATTAATATTGCAGGAATATGGATTCAAAAGCAGGGAATTCCAGGCCAAAGACTCCTCAAGATTATGAGATGAGTCTAACTCCTGTAACCCAAAATAGATTCCAAATATTGCAGGATTTCCCAGCCTTGACATATAGTCAAGCTGCCTGCACTCCCACTTCTTCTCAAATAAAACCTCTTCAACAAATTCCAAAACCCTCAGAAAAATCCAATGAAAATACCTATTTCACCAAGCCATTTACTCAACATATTACTCTAACCAGATTTCAAGAAGTACCTTTATACTCTACCCTCAATCAAATTACCCAAAGAATCTTTCCTCAAAAATGCTATTGGCAACCAGATGATTCCTCAAAAAATTTGGATTACTATGAATTAATTCTTACAGATACTCAATCTGTTGAAATATTTCCTATTCCAGATTGAAAAAATCCAAATATAGTTAGCCATTCAAAATGTATAATAAAGAAAGTTTGTTCTCCCAATGAATGGACTTCTCTTTATTCTAAAAAATCCTTTTCAGTAAGATTCATTCCAGATGGATTTACATATCAAGATTACAAAATGGCATGGTATCGTGCTTTCCTTTTTAGACCATTCAATCATTCCTGGTTCTTCACATTCAAAGAAAGTTACAGTAGAGAATTTCCAATTTGGTTCAATCATTGGTGGAAATGGTTTGGACCACAACCAGAAATTCTACCTCCAAACATGCTCATGGGATTTCAGACATACCTAAAAAGAGCAAAGGGGGAAGAATATACAAGGCCAATTTTATTTCATATGGAGTTCAAAGTTCCATGGATCTTTTGCTGGAGTTTTAAGATCCATCAAGAATTAGAAAAACCACTTCCAATGTCATTGGTCAGAGAATTCAAAATTAAATGGTGGACAGGATTCAATCAGGAATTTGGGGATCAAGTAAACGTCATCAGATTCCTAACAACCGGGGACAAACTCAAGTGGACCAAACAGCTACCTACTCCAACCACTACGGTACCTACTACAACAACTTCTCCACCTACTCCAACCACTATGGCATCTACCCCAACAACTACTCCAATAAAGAAAGAAAAAGAAAAAGATACCGAGATGGTATCCGAGGCAAGTTCAAATGACTTTCTGATGAAAAAGATGATTCAAGATCCAAGACTACTCAAAGAATATTTGGACTATTTGCAAAAGCAGGATAAGAAAGAAGAAACCAACAAAATTGACGAGTCAGCAGAATCATCCGAATCTACTTTCGATCCTTTCGGAGGACCATGCGGACAAGATCCAAATGACTTTTGAAAAAGATGTCGGCCACAAATAAAGTGTCGACCCAAAAGACAAATGAAATTCAAATGAAGATGAAATGAGAAGTCCCGAGCCTCTATAAATAGAATCAAAATTCAGAAGAAAGGCATCAGCGAACACTACGAGATTAGATCAGTGAAAACTCTCCCTATTTTGTAATTCAACCAACCTCTTTTCAAGTTCAACCACTCTTTTGTATTCAAGCCTCTTAACTTTCAATATTCAATAAAGAAAATTCAAGGTTTCTACAATACAAGCTTCCGTTGTCTACTCAATATTCTTGTAAGTCCATTTACATTAAATCTATTACTTTTCTATGCAATCATCAATAGAGTGCAGCCTGGGTAGAAGTGGTATCAGAGCTAGGTACTGTGTATCATTACTATAGTTGATGTTTGGTTCGTCGACTCTTTCGGAATGGAATATAATAAATATATTATAAACCCCATCGTAAATGATAGTTATTGGCTCTTTGTAAATGGGATATAAGAAATCTTCACTAATTAAATATATTAGTATAAATGTATTAGTAAATTTAGTCTAACTAATTAATAATTTCTATTAGTAAACATGTATAATTATTAGTATAATGGATAATATTAATTATATTACATAAATTAATATACATTATATAATACATATAAATAATAATAATATTATTATAAGTTGTAACTAATTAAATTAAATATTATATATATAATTAAATATAAATATACAAATGTTATAATATAAATATATAATTATATAATTATATAATATATACAAATATTAATCATAATAATATTTTATATAAATATAATATATATTACATATTAAATATAGTTATTATTATATATTATTATATTTAAAATAATTATTATTATAATTATATAACTTATTAATATTACATACATGTATATATTATAATTATATGCACATATAATATACATTTATAAATATACATATATATTATAAATATAATATTATATAATATTAATAAATTTATAATATATATTATATAAGTATAATTATATTTAACTAAATAATTATAATATATAATTATATAATACAATAACATCATTATTATAAGTTTGTAACTAATTAAATTAATTATTATATATATAATTAATTATAATTATACAAACGCTATAAAATAAATACATAATTATAATTATATAATATATAAATATTAATTGTACTCATATTTTATATAAGTATAATGCATATTAATATTAGATATAGTAATTATTATATATTATTGTATTTTAAATAATAAATATAAATATAATTACAATTATATAATTTATTAATATTATATACATGTGTATATTATAATCATATGCACATATAATATGCATTTATAAATATACATATATATTATAAATATATTATTATATAATATTAATAAATTTATAATATATATTATATGAATATAATTATATTTAACTAAATAATTATAATATATATTTATATAATGTACTAATATTATAATTATAATATATTATATATATGTATATATTATAATATATAATATATATAAATATTAATTATATCATTGTATAATTATAATATGTAATTGGATTTGTTTCTTGGAATCAAACTTGGGAATCGGACAGAACCCACCAAAATACTTGGGAATGGAGAAACACCAAATTTTTAGAAATCATTCCAAGATTTCAATTCCCATTCCAGTGAACCAAACACCATTTATGGGGTTCATTCCATTCCCCAAATCCGATACCCTCTTACCAAATGCCCCCTAAAGCTTATCTGCTGAAATTGGAGGTAGCATTGGTGAGCATAAGTGAGCTTTTGAACACTAAAAAAATCTCTACATTTTTCGCGAAAGTATTATCTAATCAATTTTTTATCTCATATATATCAAATTATTATAATATATTTTTTTTATAAAAATTTTAAAAAATTACAATCCAAACACAACCTTAAGTTTCCTTACTCTGATGCCTCTTAGGTTTCCTTACTCTGATACCTCTAAATAGCCTGGAGAGTTCTGACAATGGATCTTTGTTAGGTGTAGTGCAATGTTTATGAGTCGAAGTTGAATTAAATATGTATCAATGAATTCGTAATTGTGATCCACGGCCTGTGACTATTTGTTTAATTATTTAGCCTTATTGCTTTCATGTTCCTATTTTTTTTTTTTTTTGAGGCAAAGTGGTCCTCGGTGAAAGTGGCAATAATGTTTTACTTAAAGTCCATCATGGTGGGGTAATTGTGGAGGAAACTATCAAAAAATATATCGGTAGATTTGTTGAGAGTTTCGCCGCGTGTAATGCTGAAACAATGAGCTTGTCCGGATTGAAACACGTTGCCACCGATCTTCGGTATCCGAAAGCTACAAATTTTCAGTATAGAGATCCTGATAAAGATGTGAAAACGATTCTTAGAACTCTAAAGAATGAAAGGGATGTTAGTGAGATAATATATGATTGTTCAAAGGGCAATGGAAAAAGGGCTAAGGAAACTATACGTGTTTAATCCTAAAAAATATGTTAGTCCATTTCTTATTTACAGTTGCTCATTTATATACATCTGCTGCTGGCTCATGAGCCGGAAAATGCCACTGGAGACTGATTGCAAGGACTCTAATGCAGCTTCTGCAGATGTTGCTGAAGAAGTTGAAGTCTAAAGGGAATTTAGTTTTGGCTAGAAACTTTTATTGTAATTGTAAACCTTTGACATAGTATTTGTGGCCTTATAACTTGCCATAGTTGTGTATATTTTTGTTGGTTTTTTAATTGAAATTGAATGTAGACTTAATTTTGGTGGCATGTGGACTTGTATTCTGATAACCGGAATTATATGCATTGCTAAATTATACACTACTTTAGTGATGCATAAATTATATACTAAATTTGGTAGCTGATACAATTATTCTTTACAATTGCTGTTGAATGTTTCAATTTAGGGACACAGTAGTGAGTGTGTTTGGATTGATATGATTTGAGAAAAAATAATTTGATTCGTAAATTTCAATCACCCACTATAGGAAAATAGGCTTTTTGTGACGTTTTCGCTGCGGCACAAGAAGAAAATGCAGCAAATAAAGAGCACATTTCAAATTATGTGGCAAGGTTGATAAAGGGGCATAATTTTTGTGGCAAAACGACGTAGTTTTAATAAATCCAGAGTAAAGAAAAAGGGAAAAGAAAAGGGAAAGCGCCTTTCACTTCCAATGTCTCCTTCATTCTCCGCTAATTTCAAAACCCCCCCACTTCTTTCTTCTAAACTCTAAATTCTGATTCCAAATTCCCAATGAACTTGTCTCGCTTTCTCTCTCTCTCTCTCTCTCAAATGGTCAAATCTAATTCCACCTCCTCTATTTTCCACCCAATACGGCCAACGAATATGTGGCGACCACCTTCATCTTTGAGATACGGAGGAAATGCGGAAGAGTAGACAGATTGATTGCTAATTGGTTTTGACGCCTGAAGCTAGGGTTTTAACGCCAGGAAGATGGACCTCCTCCATTTTTATTCTCAGCAGTTGAAGTCGATTCCCAATTGCAGTGTTTCTTCCTTGTTGTTGTATCTCTCTTTGTTGCTCTTCTTCTTTGTCTCTTTCCAATTCTAAAGACTCTATCACATTCTCAAAGGAATATGGTGAGATTTATAGCTAAAGATAGTTTTATCTCAATTTTGTGTTTGTTCTTAGGTTTAATGACTTCTGGCATGATTTTGAGAAGTTAAACAGTTTCAGGTCACTTTGCCAAAAGTGAATAAATTGGTTTTCACTGGCTGGATTTGCTTCTCCATGTAATTTTGATCATCGGTGAACTAATTGTAGCTTTGGGAGAACTTACCCAACAATTTTGCTAGCTATTCTGGTTCAAAAGCAAGGTAATTAAGCTCAATTCCTTTGCGATTTTTTTCACTTTATTCATTTATTTTATGGTATAATCAAGAGAATTTATTACATGCCCTTAGTGCTCAGGAGTTTATAGACTTTTGCGATTATTTTTATGTATTTTTTGTAATTCTTTAAAATATTTTTAATGCGACTTAAGGGGAGATAATAGGAGTTTACTCTCGTTTTAAAGAGTCCAGCCCATATTGCAGATGGACAATGGAATCGCCTGAGAAACTCAATACAGTCGTTGTCTTGAAACAACGAGATAGCAGCCGTTGGCAGAAGGTACATTTGAAGCTTAAGTGCACTCCATCCTCTAGTTTATATATTTGTCCGATTATCATGCTACTGATATTAGGTGTTATTTGTAATTCTGTCATAAATGCCTGTAAACAACTCTCCCTGTTCTTGGAGACTGGGGACACACAAATAGTTTAGGAGAAATCCCAACTTTGGAGCATAATCATTTCAAGAAAGTGGAAAATGGCAATCAAGTATTGCTGTTTTAGATCAAGTAATTCCTGATTTAATCCTTAAAAATGGTTACAAGGCATACAAACTACTTAAAAATGCACTTGCTTATGGTAGTAAGAATTTTTGCGTCACACTATGATATGGTATGATAATATTGTAACACAAAATTGTTAAGCATGATTGCCTCTACGGGTATAATATTAGGCCCACCTTCTCTCATTATTAACTTGGTGTTACTACTTGTAGCAACTTTGGTTAATTCTTTTACGAGTTCCAGTTTCTTATATGTGTGTGTTATTCTGCCCAGATTAATACATGCAATGGCTTCTAGTTGGCTATATCCCAAATAAGCTTATAAACCCAGGATGCAGACTGAAGACTGGACTGGGTGGTAAATTATTGCTTATTTTTTCATAGATGGTTTGACAAAATTTTTGAAGTTTTATAACAGGAAATTCACTGTCTTATGTCTTCATTTGCATGCTACTTCCCAAATAAGCTTATAAACTCAAAATTTTTGAAGTTTTTATGCAAAATGGTCTGTTTTCTTACGAGAAAGTTTGGGGATCTATTTAGTAGAAGACAAGTGCTAAACTTCTCCTTCAATTATGTCCCTTTAACCCTGTGGTCTATATCAATTCATGCGCTCAATATATCTATAAGGGTACCACTACTAATGGTAGGAAGGTTGTGCTCAATAAGCTGGGGTTGTCCAGATGCAAGGTAATTAAGCTTATATGATCTGCAATTCATTTTTATTTATATGCACCTTTTATCATATTTATGGAGAATGATTAAAAGTTGTTCAATGTTGGCAGTTGTTAGGTTCTAAATGTGGAATTTTATGGTGTTTTTGCCTTCTGCTGTTTTGGAATTTAAAGTGATTAAGGTGAAATAATGGGGATCTAGCATCAAATTTTGATTAGCATTCAACTTTAATTCCAAAGTTTCTGATTTCGGCTAATTTTCTAATTCCCAGCAATAGTGTACTTCATATCATTAGCTTTTGACGATGCATTTATTATCTCATGGATTTTGGCTTCATTTTTTTGCTATTTATACTTTATTTTGAGTGAAATTTTCAGAAAAAAAGGTTTTTTTGATTTAAATAATGGCTACTCTGCCATTCATTGTCATAGACCCATTGTCATGCCTACTCTGCCATTCATGGTCACAGAGTTACTTCCTAAAGCAACTCAAATTCCGTTAGTCCATTGGTCATGCTCCCATATCCTGAACCCCTAATGCCAGTGTGTGTTGGTTACCCCATCTCCAACGATGCAGTTATTACTAGTTAGACTCATATTATTGCTTGTTGATATTAATTTCATGTCATTCGCCATTATTGATGCCCATGATACCACCACCAAGCTGATTTGACATCATCGTTTCATGTATGATTTTTTGAACAGAACTCTGGGAATCATTTGCATCTGTGTCACTAGAAAGTGCTGGCTGCTGCATTGCAATGTTCGGTGAACTAGCAGAATTCGTGTGCATTCCAGTCGGTAAGCCACCAAGTGAAGTCTGTGGAGGATCGTTAGATGATGATGCCGTTGGAGACTGGAAAGGAGAAGGATTGAGTTGCGGTTGTAGTAAGGTACTCAAGGAACACTAGGAGATGGCATCTGAACACCATTTCCTCCGTAAGGACCATTTGTGCTACTCTTCGGGTTTTTGCTGTCTCGAGTTCATTGAGTTTTGATGACGCAGCCCAGTTATATATGGCACTAGTAGAGGAAGTTGCAGGAGCCGAATTCAGTGGATTATTTACATTTGCCATGCCATTTCTGGAAGGAAGTTGCAATTATTACGAAAAATGTTTCAATGTGGCCTAACCATATTGAAACGTGATGACTTTTGCAAAATTGGTTGGAATTAGGAACTACTTGTACCTTTTAGAATTAGGTTATGATGATGAATTTGGAAATTTGCAGTGATTGTTTCCATTTAGATAGTGAATTGAATTACTTACTTGAAAGGGAAATGTACTACAAGCATGAAAAATAATTCATAAAATATGCAAAAAGTGTAAATCACTGCAGTGCATCTGTTTATTGAAGGAGACTATTTAATATTTGTGACGCAATTTTTGTGCCGCGTGACTATTTGTGGCACAATTTTTGTGCCGCTTGCATATTTTGTGGCACTAATATGTGTCACTAATTGAGCCGCAAATGCTTGCGACACATTTAAACAGAGTGTTATTTTCTTTTGTAACGGCTACTTTTGAGGCACAAAAGACTTGTGCCGCAAAAGCGCCGCAAATACTTTTTTGCGGCGCTTTTTGGGCTTTTTGTGGCACATTCTTGGCGTTGCAACAAGCCATATTTCTTGTAGTGATCTTTTTATCTCACAAACATAACATTACAAAAGTGCTATAGTAATTATTTTAAATAAATCATCTAAATAAACTCATATCCAAACAAACTCAGTGTGTTTGGTTGTTGTTTGAGAATGATTGTATTACGGGGCAAACATTGCCCAAATTTCTAAAACAAAAAAAAATGTTCGATGTTGTCCCATCAAAATTTTTTTAATGATTTTAATAAGGGCTGGAAAGTAGGCTTCTTTTTTGACCCCTCCGTCGACTGAGAAGATTGGTGGCTCAACCCGAAAAGTACTAAATTCGCTAGACATATATAATTGAGCGACTAAAGCGGCCCCAATTAAAGTTTAGAATTTATTGCAGTTTTTGATAAATAGTTTAGAGACTATTTTGGCCTTTTGGTCTATTTGTTAACCATGTTCAGAATAGTTCTCCAATTAAACAAGCTGATGCATTTTGCCTACTGGCTTTCTACTTCTTTTTTTCTCTATTTAATGATTTTCAACTTTTTCTCGATATCTCTCACATATTTTATTCTTCTAACTAGTCACCTTACTCCTTAACGTTGCTTCTAACTAGTCTTCTCAAATTCTTTTTTTTCCCTCTTTTGTAAGGCAAGTGATATTGCTTATTTGTCGCTTGTTTTTCCTTTTTTTTTTTTGTATATTATGCTATATAGGTCTATCTACGTGCGATGTATGTATAAAACCAGAGAATTCAAGCAGCACTAATTGGAAAGTTTCGAAAATATTCAAGTGATTCATAGAATTATACTTGATTGAATCACGTCCTAATAATTACAATGGAAGAAATTTAAAAAAAAAAGAATGTTGGGGATGAATTAGATCAACTTTGCAAGATGAAAATAAGGGTAATTTTACGCAGAGATGAATGGGATTATTTGAAATAAAAATAGGGAAAATCGTCCAAAACGTCCCTCACATTTTGTAAAATGACTTTTTTTGTCCCTCACTTTTAAAAGTGTAATTTTATGTCCCTTACATATTCACATCGGTTAAATTTAGTCCCTAACTAGGTTTCCGATCATTGTTTGGCCGGAATCCATCATGTGCAAGGCACGTGATCATTTTTGAAGGGTAAATTCGTCAAATTATATTTTACATAATCTGATCTATAGTCCTCCACATTTGATAAAATAAATTTTTTTGTCCCTCACATTTTATAAAATGATTTTTTTCATCCCTTACATTTCACAAAATGAATTTTTCCATCCCTCAGATTTCAAAAAATGAATTTTTCATTTCTCACTAATTATGTGTATGAATACATTTTTTTTAAACACATATATATGTCTATTTGATTTTGTTTAATAATAATAGCATAAACACATGTATGTAATTGGGCCCAACTTGTGGGATATCTTCTCTTTTTGTATGATTATGACTAATATTTACTAATAGAATCTTAATTTGCATATTCTTATTGTATTTTGGCCGAAAATAGCTTTATTGGCCAACTTGACAATGAATGCAAGATTTTTTACTAGCTAATACCAGATGAAATCAAATGATCACGTATAATATATGGTATTCGTATTGTTAAGTGAAATCAAATAGACACATACATATATTTATGCTATTCGTATTATTAAGCAAAATCAAATAGGCATATACATGTGTTTAAACAAAATGTATTCATACACACATATATTTTTTTTTAGGGTTTCCCTCATACACATAATTAGTGAGGGATGGAGAAATTCATTTTGTGAAATGTGAGGGATGAAAAAAATATTTTATAAAATGTGAGGGACGAAAAAAATTGTTTTATAAAATGTGGAGGACTATAGATCAGATTATGTAAAATATAATTTGACAAATTTACCCTTCAAAAATGATCACGTGCCTTGCACATGATGGATTCCGGCCAAACAATGATCGGAAACCTAGTTAGGGACTAAATTTAACCGATGTGAATATGTAAGGGACATAAAATTACACTTTTAAAAGTAAGGGACGAAAAAAGTCATTTTACAAAATGTGAGGGACGTTTTGGACGATTTTCCCATAAAAATACATAAGTAATACAATACAAGAAATATTGCAAACAACCACTTATTACTTCCTTAGGTCGAATTTAGATGTTGGATGAATTATTGGATTGTAATGTTTCTTTAATGTTTTTCATAATATATTTCATCTTTTATATTTATTTGATTAAAAATAATTATTTTCTTTTTCATTACAGTTTTTTTTGAAGGAAAAGATAGCAGGGTAACATTGTACAATTTAACTTATTAAGCATTTAGTTTTAGATGTTTATCAAACATTATAGATATTAGATAGATTCAGTATTAATATTTAGACATTCATATATTTATTTTCACTACTTAAAATTTTATAAATTAATTGTTTCAATATTCAAAATTCAAAATTCAAATTCAATTTTATGAAATGAGACCTTTGTTTTTTTGGGTAGGTACTGTTCGTCTGTTTACTCCATCTCTCGTCCAAAATTGTAGATTAATCTCTCAAATTTCTCTGATCCCTCGTACCATCTCTTCCTTCTCCTCCTCACTATTTTGTTCTCTCTCCTACTCGCGTCCTCCGTTTCCCCCAAAAATCTTCCCAATTTTAAAGCCAAAAAATGCATGCAAGGCTTAAAATTTTGTCTACATTCTCTCTTCATTCCCCTTAAATTATCTTTGAATGTTTGCAAAACACCATATTATGACCTGCTCTTCAATTGTTACTCGCTTCGTCTCCATAAAAGTGAGGTGCATTATCTTCGTGCTTTGAGTTTTTTGATTAATCTTGTAGCTAATGATCAAATATTGTTGGTTAATTTTCGGATTCGAATGTCGCATTAAATACAGGTGAATTGATTATAGTAAATGAAAGGTTGCTGAATGCATGGAATTTTGTACAGGAAAAGCTTCAACGCAATTGAGAAGTTGGAGCTTTATCGGAGGGCTGATGATCAGGGTATGATTTGGCAGAGGGGCAGAGGGGCCGGAGAATTCTTAGAGATCTATGACTATGTACACCTCACTTCGATTTTACTATACTCATTTTCTATTATTTAGTTTTTACATTTTTTGAGCAAGAACTAGAGAGCTTTTATGAAAATTTGTGGGAACAGCACATCCTATGTGTGTACTTTATACAAAAATCATTTAATAAAGATTAAGGTTAATTTTTGGTAGTTACAGTCATGATAAATCTAAAGAGGTGTTTTATATGATTTTGTACGAGGAAGGAAATGGAAAATGGAGAAAACAATTGTTTAGTAGGAAATAAAATCTCTATAAATTAATAACCTTGGCACTATATAAATTCTATTAATTTAAAGAGGTATTAATTAATAGATATATTAATAATTTATTAATTTTTTTACTGTAGTTATAATTCAAAGAAACAATCATTTAATCAACTAAAATTTCATTTTATTTATAAAAATATGAATTACTTTATTAATAAAAGGAGACTAAGAGTCTAAGGAATATAAACCAATACATCTCAATAACTCTTCATAATTTCTTATTGCAACATGTGAATTCAAGTCCATAACTTTTAGATGCAATAATAAAAATTAGGGCTGAGATTCAGGTAGATTAACTTTTAAGGAAAAAAAAAATAATAGACTCATATTTTATATTTTATGAAAATATGATATGTAACTTTAGTGAATTATTAATTTATAATATGAATGAGATCAAAGTATTATGTGAAGTAGAGGTTTTACTTTACACATGCAAAAGTAAATTCCATGTTTTTCTCATTATTAATTTCTATGCTTGTCTAAGTTGTTAAGTAGCATAGTGCTCAATCTCACAGGGGAGTAATTAGCAATACATTAAATGATATATTTTTTTTAACATCAAAGATGGAAAAAAGCATTACTTGTACGGGAGCAAAGACCTCGTTTACATGACGATAGCAATAGTAAGCTTTTACTTGGTTGTTATTACCTCTTATTTCCTCCGTCCCAATTCGTTTGTTGTGTTTTGAGAATTAAAAATCTTTTAAGAATAGTACTTTGATTGCAATGCTGGTACTTTTCTTTCTAACTTTATCTCTACAAATTCATAATTTGAATTTGAATGGTAACATGTATATGATTAAAGATAAGAACTATATTGGAAAAAGCGACTACAAAAAAGTTTTAACTTTTTTAACATGACAAATATTTTGGAATATCTAAAAATGAAAACTATAATACTTTTAATGGGATAGGGGGAATATTATTCATATATTTATATTTATATTTTAATAAGTATGCAATATGGAGATACAACCAGTAATCATAAATTTAGGAATCTAACTTCACAGTTCTTTTTCAAACTATTTAATTATTAATCTTGCATTGTCTGTACCAAAATACAAATATCCAAAAGCTGATCGACATTGAAATCTATTCAGTAGTCCAATTATATGCAAAAAGATTCATTAGTCCAATTCTTCTATTTCGGTTTGACCATAAGCCCACCAATATGAACTCAGAACATTCTTATTAATGAGATTAAGTTACTTATATCTAGTGGCGAAGATAGGATCTTTATTCAGGGGATGCAACAATTTTACGTTAAATTTACAAGGTGTAGTTGTCGTTTGTGAGCTTTTGGTGCAACCAAATGTTTATTATGAGTTTAACAGGTACGAACCAATTTATTCAATATTACAAAAATAAAAATTAGAAAATTGTCTATAACTTGTTATTTATTATGTGCTAAGTTATCAGGTCATTTTATAGTATAAAATTAAAAATATAGAATTGTTAATATTATGTATATGTGTAGATATGGTGTAGATAATGTGTATATAGTCAAATTGCCAAATGAACATTTGGTTCACTTCTAATTCATATGGTTGGACATATATGTAAAGATCAATTTTAAGTAAATAAAATTTTTAGAAAGAAAATAGAAAAATAAATCATTATTTGATTCAAACTTTTGTAGAAGAAATGATAAGGGGAACTGTAACATGTCAAAACATCAATCTTATATCTAGATTTAAAATTCTATTATAATATGTCAATTCTTATGACATTGATTGTCCTTTTATCATATCAAAATATGACATTACTTATTCAACATTTAATATGAGGCATACCAAATTAAAATTCACAATGTATGCTTTACTAATACCATTTCTTTTAACTGCCAATGCCATTGATCATGTATCTACTGTAAAAGACAAATGTTTCATATTATGGTGGGATGTATTTAGTATGATACAGAACTCAACAGACATGATAAGCGTCTTCAATTGTAAGATCTTCCAATAATATGTTTTCATGGGTTGACGAGTGAATGTCACAAATTGTCATCAAATTATTCATGCAGTGCTATTTGCTCCTAAACGGTAGTGCGTGATGCCGTGTTTTCATTTCCAGCTTTGGACTAGCCGTTCCTCCATTGAACTAGCTTTTTGTCTTCACCAAACAAGCAGGAGGGCTATTAGATAAACATCTGCATGAATTGAATTGGAAGCTTATGAGTGTCTGTGAAGACACATACACAAGCAGGAGGGCTATTAATATTTTGCTTTAAATTGTTATCTCCAAGAAGAAACATCCACTGGTTAGTTTGGTTTTGTTTATTTTGGTAGTCCTCGGTGTAGCAAGTATATGGAATTGTGTATAGTTTATGCTTGTTATAAGAATCAATGGGCATGTTACAACTGGGATTATGTTTTTGGTTGCATGTACTGTATTTCTATTAATTTTATTTCTAATCTATGGAACCTACAATTATATTAGGTTTTCTGAGACTTTTTGTACTTGATTCTTATTTTTAATTTATGGAATGCTTAATTATTCTGAGTTTTCTTGGATCCTTTTGTACTTTACTATAATTTTTAGAGTAAATTTCATATATACTCACTACAAGAAAATTGCGTTTTTGTGACAGGCGAAAGTCGTCACTAAAAATTCAGAAGTCGTCACAAAAAAAGTCAGTGACGACTTTTACTGCTGTCACAGAGCTGTCACTAGTTCTATGTCACAAAAGGGGGTCCATGTGACGACTGTTGAAAGTCGTCACAAACGATTTCGCTTTTGTGATGACTCTTGTCGTCACTCATTGTTGTACATTGTGTGATGACTTTTATTATCGCTAAGCTGGCTAAATTCTTGTCATAGTCAACCCTTGGAGTTGTCACATTATGCTTCCGTTCAGTGACGACTTTTGTTGTCATTGTTTTCCATCCATAAAAAGTGACGACTTTCTGGTGTCACTAGTGAAACTTGTTGGCAGTGACAACTTTTTTATTATCATTTATTTTTTTGTAAAAAGCAATAATCTAATGTTAATTACGCAACATAGCTGCCAACAATCACAAAACGTTCATTGAGTAGCAAAGAGAAAAAAAAAGCCAACATACGAAAAGAAAGCCAACATTCATTTCCAATAGAAGATCAACCCAAATACATATATATATAAATGTTGCCTCAAATGAGTCATAAACCATGCACCATCCAAAATAAGCCATTCAGTTACAATACTAGTGATTTCCCATCCACAATAGAGAGTAGTAAAGTTCTATACAAAAATATGAGCACGATTCCCATCTAGAACAAAACATGAGCACGATAGGCCTTGTAGTCTTCAAATCAAAAACCATCTCCACAGCAATGACTGGCTTCTTCTTCTTGGGAATCGTGTTAGAACCTACACGTTACCAAAATTGAAGCAATGAGCACTGGTGTTAAAACTGGAACTACACTTCTAGATAGGCACCATATTATAAAAACTAATGTCACTCTAATTTGAAATTATAGCAATCTAAGTAAATTGCTTAACACAAAAATAAAGTGAAATTATAGCAAATAAGACATTGAATGTATATTCTGTGAAATATAGAATAACAATACAAACACAATAAATATTTGCATGTTCACAAATATATATGCAATAACAATAACAATAACAACAATAAAATCCTAAAATCATTGAGAGCCTAGATGATTGTGAACCACACAGTATATCAAGAAAAAAAACACACACACACACACACACACAATCACATGTGCCTCTTTTTCCTTAGCACAAAAAAAAAATTCTGATATAGAAAAATTTAGATGAGTTCGACAAAGAAAAAAGTGGAATACATCCCAACATTCAAACACCTTTGCTTTAAAAACACTAAAGTTTTGGTTGCAACATCCAGCACCTCAATGGCTGTAATTAAACATGAACAAGATTTCAAGCACCTAAATCAGGCTCAAGCAACTCAATTGCATTAAATAGGAATCAGATTTGGTGGAACTAGATTTCAAGTGCCATCAAGCAACCCAATTGTATTAAAAATGAATCTCTATTTTGTAGAACCAGAATTCAAGTGCCTCAATTGTAATAACTATGAAGAGCAAACAATTTATTTATACCTGATACAGAAGTTGCTTATTTGCGCAAGTCATTGAAGGACTTTCCAGCAATGCATTGAAGGACTTTATAGTCCACCCGCTCATTGTTTTCAAATGGAGCAAAGTGACTACAAAGGATAGCTTTGAGTAAAAATGATTCCCTGGATACAGCTCTTTTTTTGCATCTTCTAACAATTTAAGAAAGTTATTTGTGTCACTATGATTCGCATTTAGACTATCATCCGTTGATTCTTCCCTACCAGCCCAATTGTCCCCCCATTGTGCTGTCCCAATGTCGTGCAACATGTCATTTAAATCTTCAGTATCACTATCCTCCTCTCCATCCCCATGTTTAGTACTATCCCCACAATTTTGGTGTCGAAATTGTTCCCCATGGTGTATCCATCTTGTGTAGCTTTTACGAATGCCTTGAGTCAATATGTGATCCTCCACAACTGTTTTAGTTTGGTTACAAAAATTATTGCATTGTGTACATGGGCATGGGATTTTCTGATTTTCAACTTTTTGAGAATATGCAAATTTGAGGAAATTTTTTACTCCGAGTTCATAAGCCTTGTCCTTCCTATTGCTAATCTTCATCCAAGTTTTATCCATGTCCTAGATATAGACACATCAGCCTTTAGTACAAAATACTTTTCTAATATCAAACCAAAGAGAGAATCTGGGCCCGAAGCATCTGGTATACGCAGGGTTATCCGATGAGGATATTCAAGTGGTCTCCTGCGTTCCATGTTGATAAAGAACCATCTACTGTCCCGGTCTGGTTCCAACTTCCTAAGCTACCGTTGCACTATTTTCATAAAGAGGTCCTGTTCCAGATTGTTTCGGCACTGGGGGTTCCGCTCTTCCTGGACGCTGCAACTTTGGCTGCTTCCAGACCGAGTGTGGCGAGGGTGTGTGTGGAGATTGATTTGTTGAAAACGCGGCCCTCTCGCATTTGGATTGGTAATGGCAATCATGAGGGATTTTGGCAAAATTTTGTCCCAGAATATTTGCCTGCCTATTGTGGGCACTGCTTCCGGCAGGGCCATGCGGAGACAGAATGCCAGATTCTGCATCCGGAGTTGTGGCGACCCAAAGCTGAGAAGAAAAAGACGGGCATGCAGGAATATCGGCTGAAGCCCACTGATGGAGGGCCTGTGCCTGGACCAGTGGAGGCTGCACGTCCGCTGACGGAGGTGACAAGGGCGACTGAGGAGCTTGCTGGAAAGGTAGGAGCAGTACCAGGGAACGGAATAGCAGCAGAGGCAGTAGCGGCAGTTTCTGCTCTTACTATTGCTGCAGCGGATCACGGACCTAAGGTACATATGGTAGCGGAAGTGGCGCTGAGTGGGAATGGGGCAGCGCCGCCTGCCCTGGTAGCACCCGTGGTTATACCGGAGGCGGTGGGAATGGGCAATGGGTTGGACCAGCAGCAGGGGGGAGTGGCGTACTTAGGTGTGGGTGAGGGGGATGGATCGGAGGAGATGTTTCCATCGCTACATGTTGATTTGGGAGGTGTAACAGTGGTCTCCACAGCTGAGAGGTTTCACGAGCTTCAGGCACGGGTTGGCAATTTATCTCCTCGCGGCTCAGCGTCGAGGCAACAGGAGAGGAAGGGGAAGGATACAATGGCAGCGCTGAATCTTGACCCAGTGCTTGTTACAAATTCGTCCCAGGAGCCTTACATTCCAAAATTGCGAGGTAATCGGGCTCATTTTCCTTCGGATCGTACTCTACGCTCTATGGCTAGTTCTTCACGAAATTCTTTTGCTCTGCTATCCGATGATTAGTGCGCTATTTTGGAATATAAGGGGTATTTCCAGAGGCCCTAATTTGAAGAGATTACGTAAATTGATTAAATTATACTCCATTCAACTCGTGGCCATTTGCGAACCTAAGGTTGACTTGGATAGGATCAACGAATTTAGAATGAAACTGGGAATGGACTGTTGCGTTGCAAACCAATGGGGGTCATTATGGGTATTTTATAATTCGGTTTGTACCTGTCACATACTTGGTGAGTCGGAGCAGCACCTGACATTAAATGTACAAATGCAATGCCTACCTTCAATGGTTGTACTCTCGGCTATCCATGCTAAGTGTACTGCTCAGGAACAGAACCAACTGTGGCTCGACCTAGTACGAGAGAAACCATTGGACATGCCTTGGTTGCTTATGGGGGATTTTAACGTGATTGCCCAGGTGGAGGAAAAGAGAGGTGGGTTACCGGTTCGACCGGAGGAAGGGGGGGAGCTCCTTAATTTTATGTCCTCAGCAGGAGTGGGGGATGCCGGTTTTACGGGGTCGAGGTTTACATGGTGTAATAATAGGCAAGAGAGGGCTAGAATATGGAAGCGGCTTGATAGGGTTCTGTTAAATGACTTGGCTGTGCACTCAGAGCATGGTTTTGGGGTACAGCATCTGGGGAGGGACCCTTCGGATCATGCACCATTGCTAATTTCGGCCGTAACACGGCTTGATAATAAGCCAAAGCCGTTTCGCTTCCTGAATGTGTGGACGAAAAATACAGGATTACTAGATGTTATTGCCGAGAGTTGGGGTCAGCCGATGTCGGGGTCACCGCTACGTGTCTTATCGGAGAAATTGCGAGTTGTTAAGCAGGCTTTGAGGGCGTGGTCGAAGACAGAGTTTGGGGATATATTTGTTGCAGTTCGACAGGCGGAGAAGGCGGTGATGGAGGCGGAGGAGGACTATGATCATCATCCGTCGGATGCCAAGTGGGTGCGACTCCAAGAGGCAAGGGCCAGGTTGCGGAACAATCTTACTATTGAGGAGGGTTTTTGGAAGCAGAAGGCTAGGGTCAAGTGGGCTGTTGAGGGTGACAAGAATTCAAAGTACTTCCATGATATAGTAGCTGAGAAGCGAAGAAAGGCTATCATACACCGCATTCGAAAGGCAAACGGAGAATGGGTGGATTCTGAGGGTCAGATAGGGTGCGAAGCGGTATCATTCTTCCAGGATTTGTTCACCGCAGAGGCGAGTGTTCAACCACAGGACTTCCTGCGGGTAATTCCGAGATTGGTATCTGAGCAGGATAATCTGATGCTGACAGAGGCTCCGACGTTGCATGAGGTAAAGGAAGTTATTTTCTCAATGGATGGAGAGAGTGCAGCGGGGCCCGATGGATTCACAGGGAAGTTTTTCACCTTTGCTTGGGAGGTTGTTGCGGCAGATGTGTATGCAGGGGTGGTCAGTTTCTTCTGTGGTGCGGAATTGCCGAGAGGGGTTGCTGCTACTTCTATTGTGCTAATTCCGAAGGTGCAATGCCCACAGGATTTCTCACAGTTCCGACCGATCAGTCTTTGTAATTTTATCAATAAAATTATTTCCAAGGTTTTGGCTGATAGGCTTGCAAGGATTCTTCCACAAATTATCTCCCCACAACAAAGTGGATTTGTTCAGGGAAGGTTGATTTCGGATAGTTTTCTTCTCGCGCAAGAATTAGTTACAGATATGAAGAGAGGGAACCGTGGGGGTAATGTGATCCTCAAGCTGGATATGATGAAGGCATATGATCGAGTCTCATGGCCCTTCCTGCTGCAAGTTATGCGCCGATTTGGCTTCAGTGAGACCTGGATTGACATGATTTGGAGGTTAATCTCCAATGTCTGGTTCTCGGTAATTGTAAATGGACTTCCCCAAGGTTTTTTCAAAGCCACGCGCGGGTTGAGACAAGGAGACCCTATCTCTCCGGCTTTATTTGTGATTGGGGCTGAAGTGCTATCGAGGGATTTGAACGAGCTACCAGGGCGGAGGAATTTTAATCCTTTTAAGGTTCCAGTGGGCTGTCCAGCCATAACCCACTTGGCTTATGCTGATGATGTGATAGTGTTTACTAGTGGTCTGAAGCTGTCACTACAGATGGTCATGGGGGCGTTGGAGGAATATTGTGCGGTTTCAGGGCAGAAGATTAATCATCAGAAGAGCTGTTTCCTGGTTCATCCGAGGTTGCAGTCCCAGCGTAGGATTTTGATTGGGCAACTAACAGGCTTCCGACAAAGGAATTTCCCAATTAAATACTTAGGTTGCCCTCTGTATGTGGGACGGATGAAGAAAGAGTATTATGCTGATATTGTTCACTCCGTTACCTGCAAAATTTTGTCCTGGAAGCACAGGACTTTATCTTCTGGAGGCAGGATTGTCCTTATAAAGAGCGTCCTTGCATCCATGCCGATTCATTTGCTAGCCGCGGCTTACCCACCTAAGGGAGTCTTAAGGGAGTTGGAGAAGATTTTTGCTAATTTCCTTTGGGGCTCATCGGATTGGGGTCCTAAGTTTCACTGGTTGTCTTGGGTCGATCTTTGTCAGCCTTATAATGAAGGGGGGATTGGTATTAGGCGGCTCAATGAGATTTTTGATGCATTCTCAGTCAAACTATGGTGGCTTTTTAGACAGAAAAGGTCGTTATGGGCAGAGTTCATGTGGGCAAAATATTGCGGGAATCTCCATCCTTGTCTGGCTGAGGCGGGCCCGAGGGGCTCAGCTACGTGGCGGCGGATGCGATCGGTGCAGCGGGTGGCTGACGAGCACATTGCATGGATTGTTAGAGAGGGGATGATGGACTTTTGGCATGATAATTGGTTGGGTACCGGGGCCTTGTGTCAGACAGTAGATGTCTTTCTTGAGCATCGGGTGCAGGACTTCGTTGATGATCAGGGGTGGAAGGCACGGGAGCTCCGGCAAGTTCTAGAACCCGGTTTGATGCAGCGTGTTTTAGATACGCGGCCGCCTGACATGAATGGCTGTGACTCGATGGTATGGTCTCTTACGAACACTGGTAAGTTTACTGTTTCGTCAGCTTATGCGGTTATACGACAGGAAAACAATCGGTCCTGGTTGGCCTCATATGTCTGGCATAAAAGTCTTCCTTTTAAAATTTCCTTCTTCATGCTCCGACTGTTATCTTCTAAGCTTCCTCTTCAAGAGTGTTTGCGGAGGCTTGGGATACAGGGTCCTTCCAGGTGCTGCTGCTGTGGGTCACCCCAAACGGAGGGGTTGGATCATGTATTCTGCACTGGTGACCTTGCCATGCAGGTATGGGGCTATTTTGAGACTCAGGCTGTTGATTCGTCAGTTTGCACGACTCGGCATAGGGTCCTGAGATGGTGGTTACGGCCTTCCAACAACCGGTTCTTGCGTTATATTTTTCGGTTTGTCCCGTCGTTGATTTGTTGGGAGTTATGGAGGGCAAGGAATAGTGCTGTTTTTGAAGGAAGGGGGGCAGGGTGTGAAGGAGTTGTGCGGAAGGTCCTCCAACATCTGGGGGATCTGTTTCATGGGCAATTCCCGGGTGTACGAGTGTCGTTTCTGTCCTGGAGAGAGTGTTGTGACTTCTTGGTCAGGCAACAGCGGCAATTTGCGGTTGTACCGGTGAGCTGGGTGGCTCCAGGTGGTGGGTGTAAGATTAATTCAGATGGGTGTTCGAAAGGAAATCCGGGGCTCAGTGGTGGGGGTGGAGTCTTACGAGATGAGCAAGGCAATTTTTTAGTGGGGTACTCTTGTTTTTTTGGCAGGTTGACGAGCTTACACCCGGAAGTTAAAGCTCTGCTTTTTGGAGTCAGATTGTGTTTGGAGAGAGGATACACGGACTTGCACATTGAAGCGGATTCGCTTGTTTTGATCAATATGGTGCAGGGGATTTATGCGTGCCCATGGAGGTTGCAACAGGATATGGAGGAATTGATGACCTACAGGCCCCACTTCCGTGGCATTTCGCACTGTTATAGGGAGGTGAATAGACCAGCGGATACGCTAGCAAATATTGGGGTGGAGCTAATGAGAGACTGCATTTTTGATAGTTTTGCTATGTTGCCAAAAATGGCTAGGGGGAATCTTAGGATGGATAGGTTAGGCCTCCCGAGCTTTCGGGCTAGGCTCCGCTGACTCAACGGATGTTAAACGATGCGATGGGCTTTTCTGCTTGGTGGAATAAAATAAATGATTAAAAAAAAAACAAAAAACAAAAAAAAACAAAAAAAAAACTAGCCTTTTCAAAAATTAAGGCTACAAGTCATATGAAAAGCAGCCATAAAAGTAATATGAAAATTCATATGAAAAGCCATGAAATCAGTATCATATATCAAGAAAAGTAATATGTAAAGCAGCCACGAAATGAACATGAAATTAACCATGAAAGCAGTTTCCTAAAATCCAAAAAAGCCATATGTAAAGCAGCCATGAAATTAACCATGAAATCAATAGAAATTAAAGAGGAGAGACTTCAACAAATGCACTAGCAATCAACAAATGTTAATACCAACTGATGGTTAATACCAACAAATGCACTAGCAATCACTTGGTGCAAGTTGGAACTGCAACAATTGCATAATCCCTATTCTTTTTGCTTCCTTTCTGTTTCTCTCTATTTGTCATTTTCTATTTTCAGGGACTTTGGTTAGGGAATTAAAGGCCCCATTAGAGAGGGGATTTGGTTACACTTATGAGAGAATCTAATACAGACTGGATGTATTAACCATATATATAAAATAGACCATTTTTTTTATTAGAATTTGTTCTTTTCAGTTTTTGACCATCTATAAGACTATGAAATGAAAGATAACCACCCCTGAATGTATTATATATATAAACTAGAGAACTTTTATCATACATTGTAAAAAATTTTGGATTTACCTTTAGTCTTTGCAATTTTTACGAAACAATGGCTTTCTCCAGTGGCTCCAAAAGTTTTAATAACCATTTCTTTTTATTTTTTTGGTCCTATGGGGGAAAGAATAAACCATTCTTTACAGCCATATAAACCCAAAAGGTCTAAAGAAAAAGCAAAATTTCTGTTCGCTGGCATTCTAACATCTTGATAACAAAAAATTGAATAATCAAGTTAAGAGAATAGAATAGCAAAGAATTTATTCCTTTTTCTCTGTTTTGCTGTGGTATATGTTAAAACTTTGCTGTTATATATTTCATATAAAATGTCATGCAGTTCTTTTTCTTACCTTTTTCAGAGCAGTTTGAAAATCATGTGCCATATTTTGAGTCTTGGTTCCAATAAAAAGAGGAAAAAAAATTCCTTTTTGTAGTTAAAAATAATTGAGAATTAATGACGTAGCTGCAATTTCAGCACCTGAACTTCAACATGTTATGTTATCCTTTGTTTCTACATTCATTTATTGATGATTGAATATTATCTACTGTTGCTATAAACTCACAATAGAAAAAAAAAATACAATTAATCTGCTGAGATGGAAAAGAAATTGCTCCAGTATTTAGTTTTAGGGTGAAAATGATAATTATTAAATGGATACACTTGATGGAAATTTGTTCATCTTTCATTTGAGTCAATTTTATTTTGAACTTTTCCCCTCTAAAAATATCCCTCCATGTAGTAACATCTTCTCAGGTTCTTTCTTCTTTATATTTTCTCCCTCCCAGATAAAATTAAAAGATGTTAAAGCCAGATACCTCTACGATGTTATGGAACAAAGTCAATAAAAGAAGAACCGTACACAGAAATTTCTCAAGATACAAACTGAAAATGCAACATTTCAGAAGCCCAAATTGCCTCGGATAATGGCAAGGAAATGAAGCCTTTCGGGGGCAGGACAGAAGCCATTGGATAATGAGCTAACAAAAACAGGGGAAAATTAAAATGTAGGTTCGAAAATGGCAAGGAAATGAAGAACAAAGGGAGAATACAGCTATGAAAATCTTAACTATTACAAAAGATTAACCATTGTATGACTAAACACATATTGCACAACATGTTAACGGCAATTGAAACCCCAAAACAGTTTTCTGGCCAGTTCCCAAGCGTGCAAAATTCTAGTAAAGTGCATGCTTGATTACCAGAGAGAGAGAGAGAGAGAGAGCGAGAGAGAGAGAGAGAGAGAGAGAACCAGAGAGTAAATTACATGGTATGGCATAAAGTACATTTAAAACAGCCAAATAAATTAGGCAAATCAGTCAAGTTCTCTTCCCCTTAAGGAAGCAATTAAATGGCACGACAAATTGTTTAATTTCTCTTTCATCCAACCAAATTAATGCAGTCAAAAAATGTTCGCATTTCATAGCTCCTCAAAGAAAGCCGGTTCTGACCATCCTAATCACAAAAAGGTTCCATCAAAATATAAAGCAAGCAATTTTTGGTTTAATCAGTCCAAATTTCTCGAAAACAGTGAAAAAATCCACAAATGAAAAAAAAATTCTTGGATGAACCCTAACACTGTTCATACTCCAGATCGCAAGTGTTTCGGATGCGATTTGGCCAAGAGTATTACCTTCCCCACTGCTAATTAACAATCTAGTTCATAAATTAGTCTTTACAATAGAAGGCTGAGCAGCTTTTGAAAGCAAAAAAAAAAACACATACCGCACAATTAGCTGAAGAGGGGGTCGGAGAAAAGTCTAAGCTGAAGTCGCGGAACGAGGAGGGAGCTTGGAAGTGTTCTGACTTCGCTTCTTCGGCGAGCTTGACCTGAAGATTGGCACTCGTCAATGGTGCTTTAGAGGAGCATTTTGCGGAAGCAGAAGGTGTTTGAGGTCCAGAGTTTTTCGGTGTTCACCATAGAAAGGAAAGACTGAGAATGAAATTTGTTTAAGTGTTGGAAGAGAGAAGCGGCGAGACTTTTGTTTGTCTGTGAACAACCAAAAATGACGTCGTTTTGTAAAGATTTCAGCCACCCGCTCGCGCCTCTTTCAGATTTCAGACTGGCGCTCTTTTTTTTTTTGGAATCTCAGCACGTCTTTGAGATTCCAGGATTCACGCCTTTAGCTTCATACATCTTTTTTCTTTTTTTTTCCCTGGTCAAATTTTTTTTTTCAGGTTTCTTTTTTCATACTTAATCTCTTTTTTTTTCCTTAATCTCATCTATAAATATCAAATAAATTATTTGATGTTGGTTTCTTTTTTGTGCATGTATATATATGTGTGCTTGTTTGTGTCTATATACATCTTTTTGGGTTTGGACAACTCAATATACAAATTATTTAAGAAATTACCTTACAATAAAACTTACACAATAAAACATGTTTCAAAAATTTAACATGCATAGAATTGCCTATATACAGTATAGCACTTCTTACTCATGCTTATCCTACTCTTTGTCTATTACTTAGTTTTTATAATAAATTAAAAGAAACATGTAATCAAATATTCTGTTAAATGTGTTACAACTCTCAATCTTATTGCACGACAGATATTTTACTGAATAATTTTAATTTCTTATATACCCATTCCATATGAAAATAATTATTACTTATGATGTATTACACGTTATACTAATCTTTCACAGTGCTAACATTAGACTACAAATTATATTCAATTACACTTTTTCAAATTATTTCAGTTATTGATTTTTGGGGGTTGTTATAAGTAATAATAAACAATTCATCAAAAAAATTTTATGCTCAAACATGTCTATTATGTCAACTTAGCAAAAATTACAAATATCTAAAACTAGTTTGTTATTATATCATTTGCATTTTGCTAATACGTAATGAATAGGGGCTAAATTATAAAATTAGGGTGTCATATCTTCTGTGCTTTTGCTCATATAAAAGAATTGGTGGCTAAATAATAAAATTAGGGTGCCATAGTAGAATTAGTGAAATTTGATGAAAATACTATAGAATTGCTTATATACAGTATAGCACTTCTTACTCATGCTTATCCTACTCTTTGTCTATTACTTAGTTTTTATAATAAATTAAAAGAAACATGTAATCAAATATTCTGTTAAATGCATTACAACTCTCAATCTTATTGCACGACAGATATTTTACTGAATAATTTTAATTTCGTATATACCCATTCCATATGAAAATAATTATTACTTATGATGTATTACACGTTATACTAATCTTTCACAGTGCTAACATTAGACTACAAATTATATTCTATTACACTTTTTCAAATTATTTCAGTTATTGATTTTTGGGGGTTGTTATAAGTAATAATAAACAATTCATGAAAAAAATTTTATGCTCAGACATGTCTATTATGTCAACTTAGCAAAAATTACAAATATCTAAAACTAGTTTGTTATTATATCATTTGCATTTTGCTAATATGTAATGAATAGGGGCTAAATTATAAAATTAGGGTGTCATATCTTCTGTTCTTTTGCTCATATAAAAGAATTGGGGGCTAAATAATAAAATTAGGGTGCCATAGTAGAATTAGTGAAATTTGATGAAAATACTATAGAATTGCTTATATACAGTATAGCACTTCTTACTCATGCTTATCCTACTCTTTGTCTATTACTTAGTTTTTATAATAAATTAAAAGAAACACGTAATCAAATATTCTGTTAAATGTGTTACAACTCTCAATCTTATTGCACGACAGATATTTTATTGAATAATTTTAATTTCGTATATACCCATTCCATATGAAAATAATTATTACTTATGATGTATTACACGTTATACTAATCTTTCACAGTGCTAACATTAGACTACAAATTATATTCTATTACACTTTTTCAAATTATTTCAGTTATTGATTTTTGGGGGTTGTTATAAGTAATAATAAACAATTCATGAAAAAATTTTTATGCTCAGACATGTCTATTATGTCAACTTAGCAAAAATTACAAATATCTAAAAATAGTTTGTTATTATATCATTTGCATTTTGTTAATACATAATGAATAGGGGCTAAATTATAAAATTAGGGTGTCATATCTTCGGTGCTTTTGCTAATATAAAAGAATTGGGGGCTAAAAAATAAAATTAGGGTGTCATAGTAGAATTAGTGAAAGTTGATGAAAATACTGTAGTATACAGTGATGCAAAAAGTTGTCACAAAATTGGAACCGGGTAGACTTTTAATGACAACAAGTTATGTTGTCACTGTAGAGAGAGCGTTTGTGACGACTTTACTTGAGTTATCATAAAATCATTTCCCGCGGCATCAAATGAGA